AATTAGATCATATATGTTCATAAGAGGCTGGCTCCGTCGCTATCTATCAAGATCAACCCAGGAAGAAAGAGATACAAATATCCCAGCAGAAATATAGAGATACTCATATTTTTTATATATATATTTATTCATAAATATATATATATATATATATATATATATATATATATATATATATATATATATATATATATATATAATATATATACTTATTATGTGTACATGTATATATATATAATTATTATGTGTGTGTGTGTATGTATATACATATCATACATTTCAGTGAAAGATATTGCTTTCCATTGGGTGTGCAAATTGGATGCTACTGTTGTCTAAATGTACATATCTAGAGGCTCCATTAGAATATGAAATCAATACTCAACAACAATAATGATGAATATTTTCTATGTTAAAGAAACACCAAACAATATCAGATGAGGGGAGAGGGTAGGGTGGGGTGGATAAGAGTTTGAGTCTTGTTAGATAAAACTATACTCGGTTTAATTCTATTTTTGTAGTCTTCACCTAAGATCCCACAATCAATAACTCCGGTCCCCTTAAGATTCTGCTGTTAAAAAATAAACCAAACAAAGCAACAACAAACTTTACTACAAAAGAGTCATCACTAAGATAAATTATCCCCCTCAGGAGTGTAATAAGGGACTAAAAACGCTGCTCTCCTTATCATAATTTACTGAAGTAAAATCTTAAAAAACAATTCAAAGGTCATCCACGCTCATGCATGCGATCACATCTCCAGAGGTGCTGTTATCTCTTTTTTTATATTTGAAATCATTGTGTGCTCCACTTTGTGAAAACCAGGGGAAAAATTATTGTAATAAATAATATTGTTATTTATAGATCAAGACATACTGTTAGCAATCAGATATAACTGGCATCGACCCTCTTTTGTGTTCGCTATTCCTTACACATAAAGTTAGTTATGGCACACGCCTAGAATCATGCAATCATATCTTAAATTCAGTTTAAAAGTATATTTTTATCCATTTCTTATAATTGAATATTTTAGCATCTTGAAAGATCATCTTTCTAATTTGGTATGTTTGATAATTTTGTGTTACTCGGACATGTTTTCTTCTTATTTTACACAACTTTTTGATTTTTAAACTAGATTATAACATAAAACTCTTAAAGAATTGAACAGTCCGTATCACACACAGAATTTATTTATTTTTTCTCCCTGTCATTATCCGTCAGCCCGTCAGTTGATCACAATCTCTCTCTCTCTCTCTCTCTCTCTCTCTCTCTCTCTCTCTCTCTCTCTCTATGTGTGTGTGTGTGTGTGTGTGTGTGTGTGTCTGTTTGTCTGTCTGTTTGTCTGTCTGTCTGTCTGTCTGTCTGTCTGTCTGTTTGTCTGTCTCTCTCTGTCTCTCTCTCTTTCTCTCTCTCTCTCTTTCTCTCTCTCTCTCTCTCTCTCTCTCTCTCTCTCTCTCTCTTATTTGATTTTTCCCATTCTCCTTCGTCCCTTCCCAAGGCCCGCCCCTCCTCTTTCATCCCAGTCCCACCCCCTCTTCCTTGCGTGCATTCCCCCACCCCGCCCACCCCCACAACGTGGCCCAGCCCAATAAGATTCTATAAAAAGAAACACCACAGTTCGTGATTTAGGCCACAGTCGGCGTCCATATTTGATCCCCACCGCGGCGTACTGCTTGTGGCGCCGCGAAGAGAGAGAGGAGGCTCCATTAGTTTTAGAACTCCTTGGGGTCCGCATACACGCTCAAAAAAGGCGTCAAAAATTTATTTTGATACAAAATTGTTATGCCCAATTGCTCCCCACGTCCCAGTGGGGTTTTTTTTCCCCATCAAAATTCAGTTTTGTCCAAATTTTCGACATACATTGAGCAAAGAAAATGAAATCGAGAGATGTTGCGTAGAGATTTGGGAGGGGGTCCCCTTTTTCAGCAGCTTCTTTTCTTCACCCCTTAACATTCTGATTAACAGAAAAAAGGCGGGGAAATTAGAAAACTAGGTTTGATTCGTGATAGGCTATGAGAAAACGAAGTGTATACAGACCCGGTAACCGGGAACAAAGTCACGAAGTACACAGACCCGGTAAGGGAACTCTTTTGTGATTCGGAAAGTATCAGCGCCCAGACCCGGTAGTGTGTGTGCGTGTGTGTGTGTGTGTGTGCGTGTGTGTGTGTGTGTGTGTGTGAGAGAGAGAGAGAGAGAGAGAGAGAGAGAGAGAGAGAGAGAGAGAGAGAGCAGGGGGAAGTGCTAGCAAAATGTATGACATGCCCCAGTTGGCAGGAGGGAACGAGAGAGATATATAGACGTCTAGTGGGAAATAGGTGGGGAGAAAGAAAGACAGAGACAAACAAAGAAAAAGAGAATGCGAGCAACAGAGCAAGAGAGAAATAGAGAGGATGACTGCTCGAGAGAAATTATGACATTGTTCTTTTCTTCAAATTGTAATTCCTCCAACTCCAAAACGGAGGAAAAACGATCGTTCATCGAAAAGACATCCGCAATCTTCATTTAGATCTAGATCTAGATCTAGGCTAAGCTCGAAACTAGACCAAGGATTTATGTCTGTCTGTCTAGATCTAGATCTAGACCTAGCCTAGGCCATAGATCTACCAGAAGAACCTAGGTCTACCCTGAGCCAAGAGGGCGCTGAAACTTTCCGAAATCACAAAAGAGTTCCCCTACCGGATCTGTATACTTTGTGACTTTGTTCCCGGTTACCGGGTCTGTATACACTCCCATGAGAAAAAAGGTCAGAAAAGAGAGAAAGGGGGAAATAAAGGAGAGAGAGACGGGGCAGGGGGGGGGGGCGACTGGGCGGGGCGAGAGGTGAGCGGGAGAAGAGAACGAAAGAGATTTAAGGAAAGAGTGAAAAAAGAGAGACAATGAGAGCGAGTAGGCCCTAATAGAGAAACAGAAACGATCCTGTCTCCTCGGCGGTCACCAGCGAAATATAAAAGTTTGTTCAAAATTTTTACAGGAGCCAACACACGTATAAAAACTTTGACGACTCGTCAAAATAATATCAAACGAGTTTCAATTCAAATCTTTTTTTGAACATCAAAACACCCTATACACAATCAAATGTTGACTCAAAATCTTGATATAAAAATTTTAATGCAAAACGTTTACGCTTTTTTAACGTGTATGGGCCCCAGAAGCGACGTCATTTGTTTATATTGGCCAATTACCTGCGACCTTCTTTTATGAAACCATATTCCTTTCGGTCGTTCACATGGTTTCCTCCAGTATTTTTCCTGTGACCGTTGAATCCATTTGACCGCTGAGTGGTTTGACATATTTCTGTGCATTCTGCGCTCTACAACACCATTCCGTCAAGCAAGAGGACAACCATCAAAACCTTAGTTTTATTTTATGTCCTTGGAAACGACCTATTATGTTTGCCTGGTGCAGAATCAGATGAAAAACGATTTATCTTATTTATACGTAATTTAGCCCTATGTACGTCTATAATATAATATATATATATATAATATAGTGCCATGTCAAAATTAATTTGTGGCGCAATCTGTTTGTGTGTGTGTGAGAG